ATAAAGATATTCTGAGCAAACAAAACCACATACAATGTCAGTGACAATACCGAGATAAAAACCTCAGGCACTGGCATCTTAACAGATGTTGTACTGCAAAAGCTACCTGTGCTGCACTCCCATCTAGATGTACAGATATGATTTAGCAGTGCTTCAGCTCAGGATAACATTTGAAAGGGCACTTTAAAGAACACTGCAATATTTGCCTACTGCCTGGTACATTATTCTAGTGACAAGGCATGCATTTCAGATCAGCGTTGCAACATGTGGCTTCATATGGGGTGTAAGGTCAAATTCAGCTCTGAAAATCAGTATCTTTTATCCAGGCTTTCATGTCCAGCAACAGCTTACAGAATGCCAGGAAGGAAACATCTGTGGAGGACAGCTCTGAAGTCTGAATCTTAGTGAGACACAAAATTGTTAAATTAAAACAAGTAAATTAAGACAGAGACCAAGAGGAACTGCCTTTCTAGTTAATGGTTTGAGTGATCCTATTTGCCATTAAACAGCTTTCAGCAGCTCTGCTGGCTTTGGGATTTCTAAATTCATTGCCATCAAGAGGGCACAACTGAGTCTTAGACGTTCCTCACAAAGCTAGAGAAATGTATGTGAAAGTGAAGTGCTTTATTTCAGTTCTAAGAAGAAATTTCCCTTCATTTCCAATATTGCATTTCAAGCCTACACATTGCAAAAGCTGAGAAGTTTTGCAAAAGCAGCCTGACAGCTTGAGTCTGGCATCAAAGGGCATTCCTCAAGTTTCTAAAGGAGCATCTAAATCTTTAGATGAACATTGCTATTTAGCACTAACAATGTTACCTTGATCCTCAGAGGACTACATAATGAAGCAAGAGCAAGTCCGTCAATAGTTCTTTGCTAGCTCATTTTTCTTAATTTCTGTGTGTGATTCTAATTGACAAAGATGATCTCCATAAATTACACCAAATTGGCACCTGTTTAAGGGACCAGTCCCAGTCAGATCATCCCATTTACTTCCCGGAGTCTGCAGTACCTCAGATGCTATTTGTGTTATGATACCCATTTCATTCAAGTGCCAGACCAAAACCTCTATTAAAGGTGTCTCATCCAAACGAGTCCTCACAACACAGGCTTTTGTGAAAAGTAGGGCTACACAACTTCATCATAAAAAAGTGTCAAGCAGCAAAACACAAGCAGTTTCACTGGGTTTATTTTAAGTTCTGTTGTTATACCTGATTGCTCATAAATGAAAAGGCAGTCATATCTCCATTCCTGGCTCCACCAATAAGACACTTTATTTTCTCACTATTCTGAAGCACTCCCCAAGCTTCTGCTAATAATTTTGCTTGACCTTTATTAAAGACCAAGCATTAGCTGGCAATTAGATTTGGTGATCCCTTTGGTGATTGAGGCTCAGTGATTTACTGTAAATTATAAATAGTTCAGATGTTTCATTATGTTTATTCTTTATACAAGCTTTGTGGCCAGGTAAGCGCTGACATGACATTCACTGTTAAATGATCTCATTAAACTTCTTAATTTAAGTGGTGCAACACTTCACCTGCCACATTATCCAAGGACTCCTGCAATGCACATTAAACATTCAGCATGAATAGATGCTCTACCATAGTTCACCTTGTTGGGAGTGAAATTTCAGTCCCTGAACATAAGGTTGACTACTCGATGCTGTTTGTTGGAGATAATAAATAATGCAAATAGATACCCATGTAAAGTAAGAGGTTAAAGACATCAATAGCTTTCCCACAGGGTTTTGAAATAGGCTCTCAAAAGAAAAGACTTCAAATAAGTAAAACATACCACTAAAATTTAAAAAGTTAAGGAAAAGGAAGGAAGGTGCTGGTTTCTTTCATTTCTTCATGAATTCAATGACTGGTTGAGATATTTCTTGAGAACTCTGGAAGCATGTGCTCCTTTCTCATTCACAAGCCCAGGGCAAAAGGAGGGGCAGTTACACAACCTCCCACCTCAGAGTTTCTTGTGGAGATTTGTCTTTAGCCATTTCATCCCTCCTTTTCCTGCTGAGAATGTCTAACAGAGCTGAATGGAGTCAAGGTTGGATAATGCACCACATTATTTCACTTAGGCCAATAAATAGCATATTGCTTCATGACTAAAGGGAAACACAGAATTTTTGTTGAAGGTACCTTCACATCCAGACTATTGCCCAGCGATTTCTACTGCAGTAACAAGGAGAGGCACATGGATTAGGACCTCCTTTCTGCCAGGTACTGGACCCACAGACCCCACAAACGAAGCATTCAGCCGTGAGGGAGAATAATAGGGGTATCTGAATTTTCCTGGCCTGCATGTATTTTGTTTTCCACATTTTTAATTGTTTCCTTCATAAAATGAATAGTTCTAATATTTTTTCTCCTGTGCCTTTAAATAGTATGATCCTTAACATCTGGTTCTGGACATCTCTTCTGAAGGATGAAGGGCTCCTAGCAATTCTACTGCAGCCCATGAACACACCAGACTGCTCCCTGGACAGATTTAGGCTTCATCATATAGTATTAACCTCACATACTGAATATGTTTTTCTGACTTAGAAGGCTGGATTAGCTTTTATTATCAGAAGAGAAGTAGTAAAGGTTTCAGTGTTACAGATGGAATGGCAGATGGGAAGCAAAAGCTTAATATGAAGCAGCTCTGGATAAAAACTATTAATCCACAAAATTCATATGTTGTTATGCAGGGAAACCTAGCAAAACCCACTGCAATATGACTAACCAGTGAGAGAAACATAAACCAAACCTAGACCATTATTTGACAAATCATGGCATGAAGTCTGAAACAAGAGAAAAAAAACCCTCAGAAAATGAAATGGACTCATATATGTATTTGATAACATTTTCCAGGGTTTATAGCTGTAATACTCCATATTAAAAAACTCTAACCATACTTATAAGTCACTGTCATTGAAGCTGCAGCGCTAAAAAAGGCTTCTTACTTTTTGTTGAAGAGCATCATGGTGTGAAGAGAAAGCACATCACCTTCAGTTCTGGTAACAGAATACTCTGACAGAAAGGAAAGGGAGTGCTTGAGGTGCTGCCTGGCTGGTGAGAGCCCACCACACAGCTCTGAGAGCAGCTGCAGTGGAGAACCACGACCTTCAAGAGCTCCCTCCCTGAAGAAACGAGCGCCTGGAATTTCTCCAGCTGAATGGGACTTGTTCAGAGCTTGAATGACTGCAAGATGCCACGGCATTATTACAAAGAATCCATTAACACTGAACTGACTACACTCTACTCAACAAACCCTGTGATTGTTTATGGCCATGTCTGTGAGCCACTGACCCCATCTGGCCCTGTGGTTTGACCTAAGAACAGTTCAGACTGCCACAGGTCATGGCCTCAGCATTACACAATGGTTAGGGTGGACTCAGCAACACAGGATAACTGGACATATCTGCTGGAACTAGTCTAGTACTACATGAGACCTTCAGCAATTTTCTCTTACAATTTATCTTACTTGATTCAAAAGTGCCATCACCTACCTCTTCCTTTACGGCCTTGCATTAGCCCACTTTCAGCATCAATACAGCATTCCTCACCAGGAAAGTGAACGATAGGGGATAACAAGCTAGCTTTTCCCAAAACTCAGGAGACTGACACAGAACTAGCAAGGATAATATATCAAAACTGTTAAGTCTGTTTCTGTTGGACACTGAAAGTGTTTAATGCTGATGCAATGTGAAATACCATGATTTCTTAATTCAAATCCCCATGTTCTAATATCAATGCAACCTCAGTGACTTGTGCTCTTCTCTACTTTTTCTCCCCTAAATGCACTGCATTTGTCTGACAGTGCTTAGAAATGGGCACCAGCAATAAAGCCTTTTGTCAGTCCTCACAGAACCCTTCCTAAGGCCTCATGTTTATTTTCATTTTTCACCTCAGTGGTGAGATTTCTGTGCAAGAAGCAGCTTCAGGAAGGGACTCGTACTTTGAGAGAGATCTTGGAGAAATCTAATCGGTGGAAGTATCTTTTATATTTCTTTTCTAGGAATATTAGAACCATGTTATAGCATCACTCATCAGAAAATCGCCCAAGAAAGTTACTTCCCCTTTCATCGATTTATTTCAACACAGAGGGAAACTGAAGCCACGAGGAGAATTTCCTGTTTCCTTCTTCTTAATAGCTCTTATAGCCTAAACCAAACAGTTTAAGGACACTTGGGGTTTTTTTGGGGTGGTACTTTCTGGATTTTTTGCTTTGGTTGGGTGGTTGGTTGTTTTTTCCGTTTGGTTTCGGGATTTTTTTACAGACTATCTACTTTTGCACAATGTAGTAAACTTATGGAATAAAGCTGTGAGACCTGGGTGATGTAAATCCAGAAGGAATATAATTTCACTTAAAATCACGAGCCTTATCATGTGGTTGCGTGGAAGTTCTCTACCTGATGACATCTGAATAAAGATATTCAGGCAACGGTTGGTGCTGAAGACATAATTGACTCCTACCTAGTTATTTGTCACTTCTACAACCCTTATCCTCCACAGAAAAAGTACTAAAAGAAGGGAGAGGAGAACATTACCTTCCCTGAATCTGTATTCATACCTTTAACACTTGCTGAGACATCAAATCAAACTGTTAATCAGAGCCCTGGGAGGGAGGAATCTCTCCATGCCTGGGGTTCATTTGCTGAGCCCCAGCACTTCCTGCTACTTCACTCATCCTCTATTGCCTCTTTTGCTGGAAATACTGACTAATTAGAGCAGCCCCTCAGTGAAAGTGAAGGCCCAGTGCTGGTACCCTGCTCACAGCTGCAGTCCCTCCCAAGGAAGTGGAAGACACACAGGGTACAGTGAGGTGATTGTCTCCTTGGCTGAAGTGTGCCTGTCAGACACCTGCCTCACCAAGAGGAGTATTCTGCTATAAAACAAAAGAAACTGCCCCTCTGACTGTAGTTCTTGCAGCACAGCATGGCCATGTCATCCCTTATATCCATATTTATTTCCTTTAGGAACAAAACATGTACATTCTTCAAATGCTCATTGTACCTGATTGGGTAGTCAGCAGCACTGAGGTTAATGAAGAAATCCCATGGCCAGTCATTCATCTCCATTAAGTCCCTCATGGTCTGCAGGTAGGTGGACAGAAGACTTGCTCCTCCCCAGATAGTTGCCATTCTCCAAGAAGTGACTCTCACGTTTGGGTACTGGCTGGCAAACTGGAGCACTTGTCGATGCAAGTAATTGGATCGCTTTACAGGAGAAAAAAGTAATACATTCAAGTTATTCTGTCCAAAATTTTCTCTCCCTGTATTCACTAACCACCAACCCTTACTTCCTGACTCACCGAGGGCTGCCATTGCTTTGCCCTCACTTACTATGGCACACAACCTTCTTTTGCTAAATGCTTATTTGCCAAATTTACAAAGAACCCTGTTTAATTCATTTTATTACAACTACAGTAATCACTAATCAATGTGATTAGCTCTTATTCATCATTTGTCATTGTAGATCCCAAGGGGCTTTCATAAAGGAGGTGAATGTTACCAGCTCCCTTTTATAGTGTGTAACTTGCCTAAGGCACCTCAGGCCACCACCTCAGTCTGCATCAACTTATTGGTTGCTGATAACTAAATGTACAACAAACAGACATGGAGAGATGCTCATTGACACAGAAGGAGAAATGAAGGCTCTTACATAAAGAAGATAACAAGAAAGAAAAATAAGAAAGAAAAAGAAGAGGCTCCAAACATGTAACAGATGAAGAGACAAAAAGTGATGTGCACTTTATGCAGCAGAGGTAAAGAGAAGATGAAGAAGATGACAAAGATGGGTAGACTGACAGATGGTGAGACAGGCAATTTATAACCAGTGATATATTACCTTGTCAACATGAATGTAATAAAAATGGTCTTTATGGTAAATAGCCTTAAACATGCGTTGGAGCTGCCGAGAAGCTCTGCCATGAACAACCAAGACAAATGCGATCCTGACTGGGTTGGCTGGCATGTATTCTACGGAGTCCTCATCCCACTGTACATTGTTGTTGGCTTTTCCTGTTCAAAAACAAAACACAGGACATCTCTGAGTGTATCCACATGGCAGGGGTGCAGTGAGCAGTACACATTCCACCTCAGCCCTCTCTTCAAAAGCAGTTTCTATGGTAGAGCAAGAACTCAAAAGGGGTGCCAGCCTGAGCCCCATCAAGATCACACCCCTCTCCTCTGTCCCCACACAGGGCCATCACCACTTGGGCACAGCCATGCCAGCCTTCCCCACGCAGCCCTGCCTGTGTGCCTCCTCCTGAACAAGGCTGCATGAACGTGGGCAAGTACCCAGATGTTTATGGGTTGGCCCAAGCTCTACCTGAGTACGCACATTTGTACCTTCAAAGGAGTCACCTCAAAGTTTCTGAGCACTCTTCAAAGTATTCAAACAATGTCAAGGCCAACATGCCCCCAGAATGAAACCCCCTGTTTGGCCATTTATGCTCGCTCCTCTGATCAGCACAGCTCTGCTGAGAAGCTGGTGAAACTCTGCTACTTAACAGCTGCTGAGGATTATTGACTGATAGCATTTACTTGTAACAGCAGATGTATCCTGGAACATTTAAATGGCAGGTTGCATATTTTCACTTCCTCATGCAGGAGAGGAGCTCTTACAATCAGATTTAAAATTTATGTTCATTTTTTATTTTCAAGGAGTAATTTCTGGTCCTTATTTTGTAAAGTGAAGGCCACAGTGCGAGGTTCAGACAGGATATACTGATTAACTGGGGAACTGGAGGGACATTTTCAATAAGGAGTTTGAAGTGCTTTGTTTTTGGTTTGTGTAACTGCTCTTCAACTCAAAAACCTGAACTCAATGTAAGAAAATCGCAATTTTATCCAAAAACTGACATCTATTCTTCAGTTAGTTTCTGCCCTCAGTGCCTTTTGTGATGCCCCCTTCTCCTCCCACCTCCACGTACCCCCCATCTCAAGACTCCTTTTGCAGACACAAGAGGCTTGTCCTTGTTACAGGAAAAACTTGAGGCTGCACCTGGGCACAGTTATCAGACAGCAGGAGTACAGCCACAAAACCCACTGCACCTTCCAAAACATCTCCTACAGCTATTAAAAACACACACTTATGTCTGTGTGATTTGACAGAAGGAACAAGAAAGAAGACATTTGCCAAGCATGAAGTGAGAGTGAGGGAGAGAGAAAACACTTTTCCACAGGTTTTTGAAACTGGAAGCATATATTGATTAAAGTAAGCAATACCAAAAGCTTTCTTTTTTTGTTGGTTCTGTTTGTTTTCAAATGTATCAGTTACAAAACAAAGTCTGGACACACAAAAAAGACCTTTGCCTGATCCTTCCTGTGTATCTTCTCCTTGTTCAAAGGAATAGCATAAACTCAGAAAAAACCAGACCAACTGGAAGTCTGCAGAGCACTGTTTCAGGTGATGAAACAATTTACCCCCTTAATTGTAATGAAATGCCCTTGAGTAACTGGAACACTTATTATAGACAACCACTAGACAGAGATTCTGCTGCAATGGGAGCAGCACAGTCCAGAAAGAAATGGTTTCAACATCTCCCATAATTCTCCCTTCGAGTTCCTTCCTCCTCAGCAATGCTCCCCTAGAACACTTGCTTTAAGTCAGAATCTGTTCTTCCCATCCTGGAGGTCCAGGAAACTGTACCTGTAAGAGGTGTTCCTCATGCCTAGAATCAGGCTCTTGGCTGGACTACGTAAGGGGCTAAACGTTGTGTCCCTATCCAGCAATATACACAGATACTGAACAATGAAGAGCCTACAAGGTGCCAGAGGCTCACTGCCTCATGCAGCAGACCCTTACTGTCCACAGGCCTGCAAGGAACACCAGTCTGCAGTACTACTGCTCATGAATTAATGCAATTTTATTGCCCCCCCAGTTGTATTCAGACTAGCCATTTCCAGCCCCATGAGTCACTCAGCTTCAAGTGGGACACAAACAACTCACATGGCATTTCTTTAAAAAACCCTCCACCACCAGTTAAGTAAGAATCAGGTGAACATTAAAAAATTAAAAAGCTTTAATTTCTTCTATAATTTTCAGTTTTTTATTATGGCCATTAGCCTTTGCCCAGTTCTACTGTTTCTCCTGTGCAGCTGATGAGCTGCCCCATGCATGTGCTTAGGATTTCTGCACGGTGACAGGGACAAAAAGGGACTCCGAGAGAAAGAAAATGTGCTTGCAAGGAGAACAGACAGGGGAATGAAGGGCAATTGCAATTGCTAAAACAAGCCATTTTTCTTTTAAACTGCTTTGATTTCAAGCTGATGATGTCCCATCAATGGACTCAAATATTTTTAGTGGTTTTCATTACATTTTTGGATACCTCTCTTCTGAAATCAGTGGCTTTCTGAAACGATATGTAGAAGGTGAGGGAAATTTAAAATAGCTATATTGCAGGTCTTTTATTTTAAACTAACTTGCCTTCAATACCCACACTATTCATTTATCTAGCAATTACTGAGATCAAAATCCTCCCAAATTTTCACCTGAAATGCCACCTCATTTCATTGGGTTTCTCTAATAAATTCCTGCAGTGACTTATCTTGCTGTCTGCTGTTTTCCTCCTCTAACCTCTTCTTCCATGTGCTTCTTTCTTCCTTCTCTTTTAGGTTTAAGTTTCCATACTTTCATTTGCAACCTGCACACTATTATGACTCCTTTAATCTAATCCTTTTCTTGGCTGCTTGGAATTTCACAAAGGTAAGAATGTTATCCTTTTTCCATCTGTCAGACTATCTGCTACTTTGCTTTATACTGTCACTTCCCTGGTTTTAGCTTGTGGCTGCTTAGAACCCTTTATTTTTCAGACTGTTTCACTGATAAAGAACCAGCCTGGTTTGCAAATAAGATGAAATTGGCAGGAAACATCCAACTGAGTATCTGCTTACTAAAAAATACAGTAGGACTTCAGAACTATACAGGCAATGTAAAGACCTGAACAGCTCCATCCACTTAATTTCTATAAAACCTGTGCATACCAGAGAATTCACAGGCAGCTTCCTTGCCTCCAGCACTCCCTGCTCCCAGCCTTCACAACACCTGTCACCTCTCCACACGCCATCGTCTGCCCTTCCAAGAAAAATGAGTCAAGCCAACACAGGAGAATTCCCACCTTCTCCTCTTGCACAGGTCACCTGGGGCAGTCTCAGTGGGACTGGAGCTGCACTCCATCTCACGTAGAAAGTTTCTTTGAGCGTGGGTGAGGTTTCTGTTGTGTGAAGTTTCCTATGCCTTTAGGGAATTCCCTTTTTCTAGGATAACTTATACCTTTGCAAAAATGAATGAGTAGGGAGAGTGAATGGAGCATCCTCTTTATGGCCATCTGGCACAGGTGAAACAGTAGCTCTGGCCTGGAAGCAGGACTTGTTGCCTTCAATTTCTTCAAAGTTTTCCATTTCATTAAACAATGGAAAAGATGGATAGAAGAGCGACTTCTCATGCTGCCTTGCTTCAGAGAAACTGCCACGTGGAGCCTCAACAAAAGGGGCAGTGCTCACCTAGCTCATAACAAACATTTTCTAGCCCTTGCATCAAAGTGTATTTACTGTGCTATCCTACACTGAAAACAAACATGCCACTTTGATCTGTGACCAAATGTCTTTCACAAACTTACTGAGAAAAGAGAAAGCTGCCTTTTGGCTTCCTGTTCAAAACTGAAAGGCTTGGCATAAATGTGTGTTAGCAGGAAAATCCGTACCTGGTTTTGTAGATAACAGGAGAATCTCAGCTCTAGTGCAATTTCAACCTGTACTTTCTAAAGCCTTAAGGAAATCAATACTCATAATTAAGAGTTTAATCTTCATGTATTGCAGTATTACTAAATGCCAGAATAATGAAGATGGTGCAATCATTTTCATATTTGTTGTGATGCCACATTATGTTCAATCACCCACTAATATAACTCAGAGCCAACCTGCTAATCTCTTACTTCTACCTCTAATTAATGAGATCAGACTTCTCCAGCTGCACAAAGCAATCTTTTAATCAATTTTGTGAGCCATATTATGTTTTGTAAATCAACCCATCAAATTCTGTTCTCAGTTTTGTATTGTCCTGGCTGTTCAACAGGATACCCCTGTACAGACATACCTGGATGCTGCTGACTTCATCTGAACACAGCTGTGTGTGTACACTGTGCCTTGATCCATGAATCAATGGATAGAGGACATCAGAAGAGTTATTGCTGTGTAGTTCAGCCCACTACTTACTGCTATTACATCCATAAATGCAATCAGAAGCCCTGTCATTATAGCAGAGTATGAGCCATAATCACTCCAAAGAGGTAGAGCTCTGCAGTCCCTACTTTTACTCACAGGAGTAGCCTCATTCCCTTCAGTGGGACCATTTCTGCAACAGCCAGCTGAGTGGTAGTTGCTGAACTCAGATTTCCACTATGAACTCCTTTTCAATTGCTCACAACTCATAACAACACAGCAGGTTGAAAATTTCCAGGCTTGGCTTTCATCTGAAAATGTTTTTCATTTTGGTTAGAGCAAAATCAGTTTTGCCTTGTTTGAATGGTGACAAAATAAACAAACAAATTAAAAAAAAAAAAAGACAAGACAATGTTTTCATTTAGAACACACGATTTTTTTATCAGACCTAGTAATAGAAGTAGTTGGAATTATACAAAAACTATAAAAAATGTCACTGAGCAATTTACCAGTGAGCCATTAGAACATGATGAGAAGCCTTTGTCTGAAGGCTTGATAACAGCAACATTCATCTGTCCTGAGCCAGAACTCTTCTGGAGTTAAGGCCCAATGACCCATTACAGCAAGTGCATCACTTACCATCAGGCTCGAGGGAATGTTCTCCCTTGCTGCAGTACCCTCCAGTGAGGACATTCTTGCACAGCTGAGGTAACTTCTGTAGCACAGTGTGTGTTAATCCTACTTAGATCAAAAAGCAATTTTTCCCAAACGAGAACCTAGGAAACTATCTTCAGCAACCTTAATGCCAACTTTGGGATGCCAGTTTGCACCTCCAAAGAAATGATTCATTTGTTTCC